AGGAAGTTGTGAAGCATGAGCCAAAACCCACCATTTATATAGAAAATTCTCTATTGACAGCTTGGGTGGGCCCATGAATTGGGTGACACAGAGTCTCAGGGGATCTTCAGGGCAGGGCAAACAGTGTTGTTCCAGTTGATGGAGTGTCAGATATGGCACCCTCCTGCTGGCTCTGTGGCTCTGTGTGGGTGGGGGTTCAGACAAGGGACAGTGGCCTCTGCCTGTCTTTCTGTCTGGGAGATAGCTGTCCCCCAGTTCTTGCCTGGATGCCAGACACTTCAGTTTCTCCTTGTACGCTATTGGTGCCTTTCAGATTGCTACCGTAGTGGTAGAACTCAGAGGGAGTGAGTCTGAGTAAGCTCATGTGTGGGTTTGTTAAGGGGAACTACTTGGGACTCCAGAATTTCTTCCACTGACAGTTTCTGCTGCTTTTTTGCAGCTAGAAGTTATGGGAACATATCTTCATGGCACTGAAACCCTGGGTTGGGGGGCCTGGTATCGTTCTGAGGCTCCTCACTCCTGAGATATCCCTCCTGAATTTTTACACACCACACATGGATGTGGAACCAGCCTGTTCTGTATCTTCATCCTCATACCAGTCTGGATGGGTATGGTTTCTTTAATTCTATTGTTGTTAGACTTTCATTCAACTCAATTTCTGATGTTTCTGAGTGATGGCCGTTGTATAATTTAGTTGTAATTTTTGATGTGATTGTGTGAGGAGGTGAACTGTGTTTACCTATGCCGCCATCTTGACCAGAAGTCCCCTAACTTCTATTCTTAGGGATTTTTTCCTAATAATGGGTTTTTCTTTAAGATTTTATTTATTTATTTTTAGAGAGAGTGGCAGGAAGAAAGAGAGTGAGAGAAACATCATTTTGACAGAGAAACATCAATGGGTTGCCTCTTTCAATAGAGACCAACCTGCAACCCATGTATATGCTCCCCACCTGGAATCTAACCGGCAACCCCTTGCTTTACAGGACAACATTCAACCAACTAAGCCACACTGGTCAGGGCTCTAGTATCTTCTTTGGAGTGAGACTGCATTCATCTTCGAGTCATTATTGAAAATTAAACAGTTTTGTTTGGTTCTTTAAAGAGCTTAATCACCTTGATAGTGACTTTGTAGTCTTCCACTCTTAGCCTGCCCACATGCTGAAATAAAAAATGGCTTGTGGTGATGAGACTTGGCTTAATATATCTCGAGTTGCTGTGTCCCATATGGTAGCCACCAGCCACATGTGACTATTTATTTTTAACTCTGCATCTGATAGGTTGGCTATCTCTTCATCGCTTAGTTATATTTTTTCTGCAGCTTTGAAATGTTCTTTCATTTGGACCATGTATTTTTGTCTCCTATTTATTTTTTAATTTAAGTTAATTAAAATTAAATAAAATTTAAAATTCAGTTCCTGGACACATGCTAGTCATGTGCTAAGTAGCCACATGTGGCTACTCTATTAGACAGTGCAAACAATAGAGCATTTCCATCATCACGGGAAGTTTCCCAGCAGTGCTGCTGTGGAATGTGGATTTTCATGGCCCCCTCTCCCTGCCTTCCTCCGTCCCTAAAACAACAGCTTCTTCCAAGAATTACTTCTACAGCTTTTGTAATTTGGAGAGACAACTTATCTTCCCAATGATATCTGACATGGAGAAAGTTTTATTGGCCCAGGTGTTTCTGTGGTACAGGGAAGCATGCTAACCGACACTGAGTTCAGCTTACTGAAATGGCAAGTCCATAGAACCAACTAGGTTTTATTTGTCAGATTACATATTGAGTCAATGTTAGGTGGCAGATATTTGAAGCATTTATAGACTGTTTTGTTGATTTGCTTCAGAGACTACCCTGATCTCCGGTGAACTTATTCTTCCTAATGATGTTGCTGTCAAACCTTACAGCAAATGTAAGTTTGTATAACAGATTAGCCATATTATTGACATGTTCCACAAAGAGGTTACTGCCTTCTATGAGTTAGACTGTATTATTTTGGAAGAAAAAAATTTTCTTGTAAATCTGATTCTTTTAGTGTATCCTGGTTGTTTTGAGTGCTGTTAAAAGAAACAGGGTTTTTTTTCATTGTCTTTTCATTTGTGGGTTCTAAAATAATCAGGGTACATGGACATATTGATATAGGCCACCGTGGTGCACTTGGGCCTATGAAGAACATACCAGTACTGCATTGGTCTTAAGCTCTGCCATCTTACATGGGTACAATTCTTGGGTCTATTTTTTTCCATTGTAATATTCCACAATAAGGTCCTGTAAAAATTTATTCAATATGTCATTTACCATTGATATTCTATTTTTTTTAGTATATAGAACAGTACACTGAACATATTTGTTCTGTGTGCAATAATCATGGAAAGTTTTCTTTTTCCAAATGAGCTAAGCAGTGGGAAATACTTACTAGTGTAGGGTTTGAACTCACCATAAGAAGCAGCAAGTGCTTTTCTTCCCTCATCTGTACAAACAGTCTGACTGAGTGAACAGATCACTGTTCATAATGTTCCTGGTCACTGAGCACTTCATATCTGAAGCCTTATATTAACCACTATTGTTCCGTTCTGAAGGACTTAATACCATTTCTCATGTTCAAAAATGTCGTGATCAGTATTAGTAAACTATTTTTAATTGCAAAGTAAAGTGATGGGATACAAGGACAGTCAATTATATTAATCTCGCTTTTGTGTAACTTTGAACTTCTTTAAATAGTAAAGAAATGTCCTGAGTTAATTGTGTTTGTGTTATTGAGTTGTATGTGTTCCTTATATATTTTGGAAATTCGCCCCTTACCAGATACATGGTTTGCAAATATTTCCTCCCTTTGTAGTGAGTGACCTTTTCATTCTGATTATTTCCTTTGCTATGCAGAAGCTTTTTACTTTGATGTAGCCCCACGTGTATATTTTTGTTTTTGTTGCCTGTGCTTTTGGCATTATATAAAAAAAAATCATTGCCATGACCAATGTGAAAGATGGGCAAAGAAGTTGAATAGACATTTCTTCAGAGAAGACATACAAATGGCCAACATGTATATGAAAAGATGCCCAACATCATTAATTATCAAGAAAATGCAAATCAGCCCTGGCCAGTGTGGCTCATCCCTAACGTGAAAAGGTCACTGGTTTGATTCCCAGTCAGGACACATGCCTATATTGTGGGTTCAGTCCCCGGGCAGGAGGCACACAAGAAGCGAAGATCAATGTTTCTCTCCTCCTCTTTCTCCCTCCCTTCCCCTCTCTCTAGAAATAAATATTTTTAAAAATGCAAATCAAAACTACAATGAGATATCACCTCATACTTTTTAGGTTAACTGTTATTTAAAAATAAAAGATAAGTGTTGGCAAGGTTGTGGAGAAACTGGAACCCTTGTACACCCTCGCTGGCGAGGTTGTTGGAAATGTAAATGGTGTAGCAGCTATGGAAACAGTATGGAGGTTCCTCATAAAATTAAAACTAGAACTGCCATGGGATCCAACTATCTCACTCCGGGTATATATTCAAAAGAGTTGAATTCAGGGTCTTAAAGGGACATCTGTACTCCCACATTCATTGCAACATTATGCACAATAACTCAGACGTGAAAATAACCCCAGTGTCCATGACAGATGATGGATAAAGAAACTATGGGATATACACACCAAGCAATATTACTCAGTCTTAAAAATGAAGGAAACACTGCCATTTGTGACAACATGGATGAACCTGGAAGATTATGTTAAGTGAAATAAGCCAGTCACAAAAAGACAAAACTGCATGATTCTACTTATATGAGAGATTGTAGAGCCAAACTCATAGAAACAGAGAATGCGATAGTGGCTGCCAAGGGCTGGAGAAGAAGAAATGGGGAGTTGTTTGTTATTCAATGGGTGTAAAATTTCAGTTATGTGAATGAGAAAGTTCTAAGGACATGCTGTCCACATACTGACTACAGTTAACAATATGATATTGTACTGTGTACAGTACTTCGAAATTTGCTAAAAGACTAGATCTCACGTTAGGTGTTCTTACTATCAAAACCAAAACCAAAACCAACCACACCCCCCACAAAGGAACAGAAGGAAACACTTGGAGATGTTGGATATGTCCCCTACCTCGACTATGGTGACAGTATCACAGATGTTTGCACGTCTCCAAACTCATCAAGTTGTACACATTAAACACGTACAGTTCTTTGTATATTGATTACACCTTAATAAAGCTGTTAAAGTTTATTTTAATTTTTAAAAATGTCATGAGCTCTCTGAGTGAATTTAATAGGGTTGTTTTTGCTGTTGCTAATAATGCATCTTACTAAAATCAAAATTTTCTCTAAGAATAATTAAGAGCTTTTTGGGAGCTGTGTCTTAGTTTAGTGTCAGAAGTTTAATAAACAAATGAGGAAATGCCCTACCTTATTTAAAGGTAGCAATACATTACTCTTCCACACCCACTTTTGAAGCATCACAAGATCAGCGAGATGATACTGTTCTACAAAACAATTACATTTATGTAATATTGTCTTATTTTTTATTTCCATAATCACTGGGTCATTTCCTTACTATTTTGCTTTGACAAGTCTTGATGTGCAGGGCAAACATGTCCCTTGGTCATCAGTTTTGGAAACTATTTCCCTATGATTTAAAAAAAAATCACATCAGATCAGGCACATTGCTGAACAGCAAGAAAAGCGTCCAGGAAAACACCTCTAAAGGATAAAAGCTTGTCATTTCTCTATGTGCATTTTTGGTAGCACTGATTCCACTGAAATTCTATTTTGGTCCCCTCATTCAATAGCAATAATAATGTTTTCGTGACTATCACAGCTTGAAACACACACCCGACAACCACAGCGCGCGCACACGCGCGCACACTCGAGCACAGACACACACACACACACACACACACACACACACACACACACACACACACACACACACACACACACACATACCTTCGTCTCAAGCTGCCAGCCGGTCTGTCCCGAGGCCGGGGCAGACACCTGATTGGCGGGCTCTGTTTATTCTGTGACCAGATTCCTTCTGAAAGGAGGCAGGCCTTGCCTGCCTGAAGCCTATTGGCCGGAATTGCTCCGGACCCACCCTTTCTTTTTCAAGGCACACACCACAGCGAAGTCTGTGCGGAATCCTAAACCAGCCCAATTTACATCCATTCATGAATCTGTGACGTCAGCAAGCCTCCGGGCTCCTTGGCGGTGGGCTGTTGGATTGTGTGGGCGGAATCCCCCTCCCCCTTATTTTTCTAATCTTGCAAGGCTTTTTAAATTAACCTTTCATCTTTTTAAAGCAAGAAAATGGAACGGCATGTGTAGGAATTCTTCATTGTTGTGAGTATCGCACTCTTTTTTTCTGTTCCCTCAGCATGTGTTTCACAAGGACAGATGGAGAATGTATATGTGATCTGAGGTGATTAGAAAGCTGGTATTATTGAGGGAGCCCAGGTGAGAGAGACAGACAGACAGAAACCCGAAACCCGTTACAGCTAGGAGCCTCTGGAACTGACAGCTGGTTTTCCTTTGCTTGTCTGCCTGCTAGACGTGGACATTTTTCTTTTACGGTTCCGCACGTTACCCCTGGATGCTGGTCTGGCTTTCCTGGAAGGGAGTTTTGTTTCTCTGAGATGAGGATGTGGATTGCATTGGAGGAAAACCCCGGAACCGATACCAGAAAGGTGCCGGGGAAAGCCCAGCCAGCCAGAAGGAGCAGGATCCGTCCTGCCGAGCCCTTGTCTCCCTACTGCCCTCTCTGTGCTTTCTCACCCTTCACCTTGCTTTTGTTTCATAATCGTGTGACAGCCAGTACCTGGGGGTTGCAGTCTGGGGTAGATGAATGCTTGTCCACCCATTCTCCCCAATAAGCTTTTACTATGGGAGCGGTAGTGGTGTAGTTATATATATTTGCAGCTCTTCATGTCACTCTGTACATTTTATTTGCGTTTTCAAAAACCTGAAAGCCTACACCAGAGGCAAAAAAAAAAGGGAATTATCCTTAAATTCTGAATTCTGACTTCTATATCTCCTAAATGAAAACTAAGATGTGGTTTCCTAATATATTCCATAATTATGTAGAAAAGCACATGACTGTTTTTCTAAGATAATGAAAATAGTTTATTCTGCAGTGTTTGGGAAACATGGAAAAGTTCTGACATGTTCAGTGTATTAAGTTGGTTTGATAGTTTGCTTGGAGTTTTAACAAAAAGTTAGTGTTTGTGATTGAATTTGTTTTCCAAGGCTCTGGTGTATTCTGGTGAAAATTGTGATAGTAAAGAGGAGAGATGTGACATTATGACATGTTCTGCCTCTGGGCAGCTCCTCAACCCAAATAGTTTAATAGCATTTTCCGACTGCCTCACTTAGAGCAATCCGTGTCCTCATCTGTGGCGTGTATCTATCTGGTTGTCCTTCCTGGTGAAGGGGGAAGCAAAATGCCTGTTATTTCTTATCATCTAGCCTTGTCTTGTTTACCTTGTACAATCAGTACTTAGTTTTGAGAATTTCATATTTCTAATCTTTTCTCATGAAACCAGGCTTCTAAATTATGTCTCTACTGATATCTTTTGAATGTTCTTATTAATGAATTTTCCAACTGTAAATTCATTTCATGTCAAAATTACCTGAGAATTTAGAATTCTCTTTTGTTTCTAATCTTGGCATTTCCCTCACTCATTTTTTTTTTCCTGAGTGCATTTAAACTCACTAGTGTTATAGAAAAACTGCTGCCTAATTCTGAACCAGATCTTTGTCCTATTTCAGCCAACTATGGTTTCACATTTTGCTATTTTTTATGTGCTGGGTTGAACAAATGACATAGTCCCCTATATTTGTGAAACACCTAGACTTATTTAAATTTTTTGTGTGTGTATCTTCAGAGACTTTGTTGTGAGTAGCAATTTCAAAGTTATTTTAAGTTACTGAAATCTCCTAGATCACTGTTGATCAGACTCTGTGTTTTTTTTTTAATGTATATTTTGCCAAGAGAGAGCTTTATTTCCATGCAAGAAATACAGTCTACACTGTGGATTTAGTAAAGTAAAACTATCCCTTTAAGACCAAGAGTGGCTATAGAATCTCCTTCTCTCTCCACTCCTAGTGGCTGTATTCTAGATTATATTTATTTTCATGTATAGTGTACTTGTCGGGGGAAAAACACAATAACTCTTAATTGTTTAATATCAAACAATAAAATCCTGTGTATCAGTAACTGGCAATAGATGGCTTTCTGTTTAAAAATTGAAGCTGCTCCAGAAGTAGGAATTAATTTATTTAGTAAACAAAGTCAGTCAAACCAGAGCCATGTCCTGGGGAACTGTCAAAAGAATGGTTCCTAAAGGCCGGAGGCCACATCCACTGGTGTCTGACAAAACAGCCGAGCTTTGGACGGCAGAACCGGTCAGTTTGGTTTGCACGGCTACCTACCCTCCCTCTAGTGCTACAGCTGAATTAATTACTTGAAGAGTTCACATGTATTGAGATAGACAAGATGATCAATTCTGCCAGGTGGCAGCCTGACTCTTATACTTTTAATTAAAGTAAACAGTGTTCCCCCAACAACACTCTTGAACTTAAAAAAAATTAAAGATAATGCATTTCTGCTCTGTGTTGGCTATTATTCCTTAAGGAGATGGGGGAGAGAAAGGTTGTGATAAGGTGCTATCTTTACCCCTGAGGACTCTAGCAGGAAAGTCACCACACAAGATAATGGTGTTGTGGTTCAGAAGCTGGTGCCTGTACTGTAAATGGACTTTAGAATTACCTGGGGAACAGATGCTAGTTCTCTCTCTCTCTTTTTCTCTCTCCTTCCCTCTCTCCCTCTTTCTCTGTCTCTCCTCTCCAGTGGTTTTTAGTGTGTTCAGAGTTGTTCAGCCCTCACCACAACCAATTTTAGAGCGTTTTCATCACTGCAGAAGGAAACCTGTACCCATCAGCGGTCCCTCATTTCCCCTCACCACTCCCAGCCCTAGGCAACCAGTAATCTTCCTTCTCTATACATAGATTTGCCTATTCAGATCATTTCATATCAATGAAATCATGCAAGATACAGGGTTTTCGTGACTAGCTTTCTTCACTTAGTGTGAGGTTTTCAAAGTTCATCCATGTTGTGCAATACTTCAGGGCTTCATTCCTCTCTTTCACTGACTAACTCATATTCAATTGTACAAATATACCACATTTTACTTATCCATTCAACTGATGGACGATGGACATTTGAATTGTTTTCACTTTTTGGTTGTTATGAATAATACTGCTATGCAAATTTATGAACACGTTTTTGTGCAAAGATATGTTTTTATTTCTCTTGGTTATATTCCTAGAAGTGGAATTGCTGGGTCGTATGATAACTTTATGTTTAACATTTTCAGGAATTGCAAACTGTTTTCCAAAACCAGCTGTACCATTTCACACTCCCACCAGGAATGAGGGTTTCCATGTCTCCACATCCTCATCAACACGTTGTTATTATTTTGATTCGAGCCATCTCCGTGAGTTTGAAGTGGTAACTCCTGTGGCTTTGGTTTACATTTCCCTCATGGCTGATGACACTGAGCATCTTTTCATGTGTTTCTTGGCCATCTGTATTTCTTCTCTGAAGAAATGTCCATTCACATCTTTTGCCCGTGTGAAAAATTAGGTTATTTGTCTTTTGCTTATTGAGATTAAGTGGACTTTATATAATCTGGACACAAGTTCTTTACCGAATATATGGCTTGCAAATATTTTATTTTAGTCTGTGGGTTGTCTTTTCACTTTCTTGATATTGTTTGCAGCACAAAATTTTTAATTTTCATGAAGTTCAATTTATCTTGTGCTTTTGTTACTTGTGCTTTTTGTGTTGTATCTAAGAAGGGCTTTGCCCGAGACAGGGTTATGAAGATTCACTCCTGGGTTTGTTTGTTTGTTTTCTAAGAGTTTTATAGTTTTAGCTCTTATATTTGAGTCTATGATCCATTTTGAGTTCATTTTTGTTCATGGATTCAATTTCTTTGAAGGAGTATATCCGCCCACTTCCAGCAATATTTGTTGAAAAGACTGTTCTTTCCCCTCCTCATCAATTGAATTGTCTTGTCATCCTATCACAGAACTTAAAAAAGTACTTTATGCTGTGTTCCCACCTCCAGAGATTCCTATGTAATTGGTCTTTGATGGGCCCAAACATCTGCATTTGTTAAAGCTCCCCAGATGATTCTCAGGTGCAGCCAGGGTTAAAAACAATATATTGCCGTGGGCTCAGTGGATTGAGCACCGGCCTGCTAACCGAAAGGTCACCGGCTCAATTCCCAGTCAGGGCACATGCCTGGGTTGCAGGCCAGATCCCCAGTGGGAAGCATGCAAGAGGCAACCATGCATTCATGTTTCTCCACCTCTCTTTTTCTCTCCATTCCTCTCGCTCTAAAATTAAGTAAATAAAATCTTTAAAAAAACTATTGGTATGGACAAAGGGTTAGTCTTAGAAAAGAAGATAGAGGATGAGTGAAGACATAGAATTCTGATACAGAAATGAGAGGAGAGTTAAGATTCACACCAGAAAGCATGCATGAATTTTCTTACTAAGCAGCTGTTAGTCATTTTCAAAGAGTGGAGGTATCACTGGGAGTTAGTGAAATGTGTTGAATTAAAGGAAGAGAAGGAGCCAACATTTATTAAGCACATTCTACATGCCTATAAATCTGCTAAGAGCTTTCCCCTACATATTTCATTTAAAACATAATCCTCATGAATATGAAGTAGGAATTCTTACCCCCATTTCACAGATGAGAAAATAGGTTCATAAAGGGTCTGACTCAGCCAAAGATACCAGGTAGTGCACACGATGCCTGATTTTCAAATTCAGCTCTAATTCCTCATTCGTTTTCAGCTCTAATCCCATTCATTTTCTTCTGTTTACCATGGATTTTGGGCATTGAGTTCTACCAAGAATTGTTACTGGTCCAGTCCAGCATGAATCTTAGATCTTCTCTAGCAATGCACTGGACTGGACAAACAGTAAGATAAGTTTGATGGTGGGGGTGATATAGGGATAAGTGTTGGCACAGTAGGGACAGTGGAAGAGCGTGGGGGTAAAGGAAGATTATCATGTGACACCTCATCATGGATCCAACCAAGTGTGGCTATACCCTGCCTAGCAGCTGATAGAAAAAATTCTAAGAGGTGGAGGACCAGTAGAGTAGGCATGCAAGAATAATTGAAGGGAATGGTTTGGAAACCATCAGGGAATGGTTTCCAAACCATGATGGAAAAGAGGATATATCAAGTAGAATTTGCAGGTGTAAAAGTGTTGACACTTATTTCGTCAACAAGTATTTATTGAGCATTTACTATGTGTTTTAGGT